TCACCAAATCGTAGTCAATCGCAAACATCCGTAGATAGCTCGATGTTATCCATAAATAAATCGTCTTAACTTGCAGACGCTCTTAAGGATCCGTGAAAAGAGAGGCAATGTGTAGTTTACGACTCCTTTGAGAATAGATACGCAAACGTAAAATTTACTTACGCATTGTTTACGATTGGGGAAAGTTATAAATTTGCACAATCGAAAACTTCATTTGCAATTGCTATCAAGAAGTCGTGTGCTATGTTGTCTCTCGTGATGTCAGTTTCCCTGGCAATCATTGTTAGGACTCGTATTTCTCATAACTAATTCGTAATTATTCATAACAGCACGTAAATAGATCGTAGCTAACACATTAAGCCTTAGATGAAAAGTACCATTCCGTAATATTCTCTTATCACTATCTAAAAGCCCGTAAAATGCACGTAAGTTACTCGTAGGTAACCTTGACAACTCGCAATTTTGCAGTGTAATGTAAAAACGTCGTAATAACCCATATCACAAACCTTCCTCAGTTTTTATCGTTCCATACTGATGGTCCAGGCTGACCTTGGTCACAACAGCAACTTTGGCCTGCGTCTGTTTGATTTTCTATCTCACTAATGATATATCACTTTGACTAGTTTGAACAACGATTTCACCAAATCTACTAATATTTCCGAGACTTTTCATCATACCAATGGTTTGTAAAGAGATGGTGACATCTGATAGTTCACTGTTATTTTGTATGGACTGTATGAGGCTTTCTGTATCCATCAGTTCATGTTTAATCTGTTAACTGATCAGGAACGTTTGTAGGTCAGATGCATGCTGCTTTATTATTGCAAGACTTATTTGAAGTTCATCTATCTCCTTTTCTTTCCGCTCTACAGTTGCCAAAATTTTGCTATTTTTTTTCTTTTGTCGTTTTCAATTATTTGAAGTTCTTTCAATAATTCTCCTTCAAGACGATCGAAGTGTTCATTTACTGTATGCCTAGCTATCTGAATTTCTTTTCGATTGTCTGTCTGTATAGTTTGAGAGATGATAAATTTCCTGCTCGATTCTTTTGAATCCTTTGTAAATTTTCAGCAACTTCGCGGAATGAATTTTCGATTTCTAACATCATGTTTGACGACTTTATGCTGCAAACAACATCGTTTATATCTGTGAGATCTTTGCAGTTCTTATGGTCCTCAATGAGACACTTTGAACAACAAGAACACTCGTGTTTATGACAATAAGCTTGATATCGTTCACCATGTGATTTGCAGGATTCTGCAATTTGAAGGACACTTACAGGTGACTTTTGAAATTCGTTAACAGGTATTATACCATGACTTTTCGATGCTTTGTTCAGAGTACGATGTTCTTTATATTCCTCACAAAGTCCTTCATTACATTCAAAACACCATGCTGTAGATTGCTTAGAAATATGTCTGGATTCGCAGATGTTGCATGCAAGGGATTTACTTGCCATTTTCCTGTAAAACATTTATTTGTAATAGTGATACTCTGAGTGCACTTTATTACTGATATCTATTAACTTCAATGTGTAACACGTAGGGTTCAAATAGTGATAAAGGAATTGCTTAACAATCTGGAAGACTAAAGTGCATCCCTATTTTTTAAAAGGGGTTTTCATGTTACCTTTGCTTTAGTTTTCCGTGTTGTATTTTGACATTTTTTATAACTCAATGTACGTGTGGTTTCTGACGGCAACGACCATGTCCATCCTAGGTCCTGAATTTTGGTTTTTATTTCAAACTTTCATTTTAGGTCAATCTTAATGGGTGGATAATGAACATGATCGTGGTTTGTGAATTTGGTGACGTCTCAGTCCGTTTGTCACTATTGGCGAATGCATTGCTAACTCTTCCAAAGCATGTTGACAATCGGTTTAAGTGAGTTGCATGTTGCTTTATCTTTTAGTTTTCTGTTTTTTTGTTTGATTTTTGCGGTTGTCAGTTCGTCGTTTTAATAAACATTATGAAGGCAACATCAACATTAAAAATTGTATTATTCATTTTCGAAGATTTTTTACTATGTGATATATTTTTAATTCTTTGAGAATGGTTTACACTCATAAGAATGATTGATGTTGTCTTAATGCCAATAAAGCGAGCAGTAAAAGATACCAAAGGGACATTCAAACTTATAAGTCGAAAATAAACTGACAACGCCATGGCTGAAAAAGAAAAAGACAAACAGACAATCAACAAGGTCATAGTTTTCTCTGACTGTTTATGACGTCTTTTCACTAAATCTATTGGATGTTGGATGTGTACTGATTGATAGTTTAGTCTTAGATGCATGATTTTGTCTATTAGTTGTTATTGGCTTTGAATTAACTGTCAGTAACTGCGAGTATTCTAAGATCTGTACTAAGTGTCTTTTTGTTGTAGGGATGTACAGGTACCCAGCCAATTCCACTCTGTGTTTTTGTTAGATATATTTCTATTTGTATCCATCTGATGAGTTCAGCCTTTTTCAACTGATTTTTATAGTTTGTTCTTATGTTGTACTGTTACACCACTGTCCCAGGTTAGAGGAGGGTTGGGCTCCCGCTTATATGTTTAACCCCGCCACATTATGTATGTGCCTGTCCCAAGTCAGGAGCCTGTTATTCAGTGGTTGTCGTTTTTTGCTGTGTTACATATTTGTGTTTCGTTCATTATTTTGTACATAAATTAGTCCGTTAGTTTTCTCGTTTGAATTGTTTTACATTTGTCATTCCGGGGCCTTTTATAACTGACTATGCGGTATGGGCTTCGCTCATTGTCGATGGCTGTACGGTGTCCTATAGTTGTTAATTTCTGTGTCATTTGGTCTCTTGTGAAGAGTTGTCTCATTGGCAATCAGAACCACTTCTCCTTTTTATAATCAACAGTACACAAAACATAATATGAGACACGATAACATATATTGAGTTGTCAGGTGTATCAGGGGACCGTGCATCGCATAACGGTATACAACTATGTTTCCTAATCGTAATTCCTAATCGTAATTTTCCGCGTGTAATGCAAAGTTATGTTTACCAAATCTTTGTAAAACAGCGTTTCTCGCAACATGAAAAAACCTGAAGGTTTAATGAGAAAAGGTCATCTGATTTTTTCCTTCATTTGTTAAAAGAAATATTTTTGTTATCAACACATGCTATATGTTACTATATTTCTCTTAAATATTGAATAAGTATTGAATTTCGCCTTTTATTATTAGGAATTTAATGGTTACAATCATATTTAAATACAACAAACAATTCAGCTGGTATCAATGTTGATTGTATCAAAGAATTTTGAATTTAACTTGGAGTTCGATATTTTTGTTATACTTTTTTGCCTTAGGAATTTGAAATCTTAGTTTCTTAGTAATTTCGAAATTTACAAACGGACAATTTAAGAAATGTCTTACATAAATCATGTTAGTATCAACGTAATTTTCAAATTAGAATAATTTTAAATTTTCAAAAAGCTCGTAGAAGTTTGATTTGTATGTTCTATCAATTTTTTTTTATATGAAACCTTGAAAGCTTTGACTGTTTGGCCAGTTTTTGTCAAAATCAACTGCAAACACTATGAAATAAATTTAATATACTTTGACCAACGGTCAATGACAATATTCATTACTGTGATATGAAGTTTGATGTTGAATAAAACCTGATAAATATTGGTTTCATTTTATAGCAAAATATTGATAACATCATTATTCGGGAATTAATTATAATATTGAATGTTCCAGTAAGAGAAAAATTCCACAACAGTGGTTAGATGATCGTATGATATATAACCCCTTTGTTGAATTTTAACCGTAACGCAAGTCAGTCCATTAAACTCTTATCATAACGAACTGTTTCTTGAGTTGTCACTTCACTATATGTAAAGTACTTCTAGCTTACTCGTGTGAGCAATTCTCATGTACAGGTAATTAAAACCGATGTACAGATGAGAACAAATTTGATGTTAAACCATTGTTCAATAAATGAAACTAATTGTAAAAACGTTTACAGTTCGCGTCGTTTGGTGTGAACACGGCCTTAGATTACATGCATAACTCTTGATTACTGTTTGTTTTGACTAAACTAAATAATAATTAAACACTGTTCCTTGAATGTAATTAACAACATCTACCTTTAGTTACTTGGCAAATAAGAACAAAACCGTAGACATTTAAGTAATTAACTGTTGGATGTTATATAAACAGGTAAAATGTTGTGAAAATAGCGAGTATTTAGAGGTCAATTGATCAATTACAAGTTCGAAAATTATCATTTCAATTCAATATTTTATTTACGTCATAGATTTTGTATAAAAAAAATTATACATGAAACATTATTTACGATAAAATACTGAGGCCACTCAATACAAAAGTATGAGATAGGATACAACTCTAATCTACATAATATATATTTTAAAAAGTCAATATACTGTAATACATTATGAGATCTATTTACAAAACCTTGATCTTTGTTTAAAAAAAAGTTTAAAAACAACATGATATCTGATAAATGAAAATTCAAAACATTAGGTTCAAAATTAAAAATTCTTTGCATATTTTGTTTAAAAAATCTTGATAAACCAACATTCTAAAAGTATATATTAGGATATTTTTTCTACAGTATTATAACAATTAAAACACAGCATCTCTTCTCTTCTAATATTTTCTAACCTAACCGTCTCCAAACGAGGAGGAGCCACGCCACATTTAGATTTAGAAACGAAGCAATTGGATGACACCATGGCATTACTCAGTCTTAAATATGGAATTGAACAAAGAATATGTACCCCTCTAACAACACTGGACGAAAGTATGTTTATACTAGCATTTAAGTATTCTTTTATTACAAAATAACAATGCAAAAAGATTTTACTTTATGTGTACATTAAGTTGTTCGTTATATGATAAACTATGAAAAAATTAGGATTTTCTTCTTTTATCAAAGGAAGGAAACAAATCATTAATCCATATGATATATATATATATATCGATGTAATTTGAAAATAATAAAGATACAAGAAGAGCACTTAATGAGAATGTCAGATAATTACACACGTTACATAAGTACACTTACACGTTAAAATACCAAATACAACGTTACAATATCTACTGATAAAAGCTTTACACATGGTGTGCACATAATAAGAAAATACACAAACATCAGTTGGTTAAACAAACTTATGCAACAAATTGAAACATTACGGCCCGACCATTTTATGGATTACACTGGTATATTCAAATCGGATTTTTGTAATGTCTGCCTAAATGATTCATGAATGACAGCCACCGCAAACCATGAAATATCCTTGACGAATCACACTAACCAGTAAATTAATTACAATGTAATGTTAACTAGAACATAATTAAGCTAAAAGTAAAAGGATACATTATCACTACTGTTTATATGATATGTGGTATGATTGTCAATGAGACAACTACCACTAGTCCAAAATGACGTGGATTTAAGCCGTTATAGTTCACTATACGGCCTTTAACAATAGGCAAAACCCATGCCATAAAGCCAGCTTTAAGAAACCGTGACATGACAAAATGTGAATCAATTCAAAAGAAAAAACCAACGGACAGATTTATAACAAACCAATATACGGAAATAGGATTTGTTTTTTGTTGTCCATCTTCAGTAAATAAGCTCTATCATTATGTCCACATTCCAGGTTTTTATGGTTTCGAAAATTATTGCTGACATGACCTATAATGTATAATTTATCTCTAATCTCACATAGATATTTCTCGCTTTCTTTTCGTTTTATTTAAGAATTGAATGCTTCTTTTTGTATATTCATTGGGGTGTAAAAGCGTTGACCGAAGTACATTTTGTATGAAGCGCGGAAGCGCTTCATTCTAAAAATGTACGCACGGTCAATGCTTTTACAACCCTATGAAATTACTAAAAGAAGCATTCAATACTTATAATACATTTTGTGGCTATGATCATGAAAAGACGATTACTATCAAGTTTTTCTTTTATTTACCTGTGCACTTTATTGTGGAAACGTGTGTCATCATGTATGTTTCAATTTATGCAATTCATTTTGAAATAAAGAATTACGCGTGATTGCTGTTAGCCAATCAAAATAACGTATAATAATGAACGTACATCTAATGTAATTATATTTCTTTAATACATTTTAATTTTTAAGAATTTTTCAAAGTCGATTTAGTTGTTTTCTATGCATGTATCCCTAATTAGGATCGGCTTAGCAGTTAAAAATTAAAGCTCATAATCAATAAATCGATAATATAGATACTGCTACATAAATCGGCTACAGTGCAAATGGACATTTGAGACTTCTCACTAAAACATACACACAAACACCTTTAGAAATATTCATATATATTGAATATTTAAGAAATAATTCATGGAAGCCATAGATTTGTTGGAAAATATGAAGCAATAACTGAGTAAAATATAAATGCGAGGGATCACATAGAATGAAAAATAGCACTATACAAACTGCATGCGTCCGAAGCACCCCTCTGGACTTACCTGCATCATAAACAACCAACGCCCAACACTTGAAGGCCGGATCCTTAAATACCGAGCCACGTGAAGATTTATACGATCAAAAGGGACATAATAGTACAAAGACAAATGAAAGGAAAACTGCAAAAGAAATAAAGTGATACATAACGACAGAATTTTGAATATACTCAAGATCATTCTGGATTATTTGTGACACTGAAGGTTTATCTATTAGTTTTGGTACCCTTCGATGAATGTTTTGAGAAAAAGGATGAGCAGTTCTTTGCCAAAACACTGTCACATCAATTATTGCTCAATGGTATCTGCTTTGTTGGCATAGGTTGAATATATTATTTTTTAAATGTTGTTATAGGTTGGTGAAACCAGTGTATATTCGTCGAATTAATATGATTTGACTAGATCTCATATTCGGGCTGTATCAACCACGTTCAGATATCTGAATATAGCCTTTCTTTTAGAAGATGAACAATTTTTTGTATGTTAGTTCACTGTAATAAGTACATTTACACCAGACGGGATCTTACCTTGACTTGAATTTACAGGAAATGGTTGATTTGGTTTCAAAACAAGAGTTCTACTTAATAAGACAGCAGGTAAGAAGTTATCAACGTAATTAAGCAGCGTAATTAAGCAACAAAAAGTCTCATGAATAGATATAAAAAAAAAACAATTGAAAAACTCAAGGAATCATATCAATACATAAACTGGCATTCACAATAGATGCACCTTAGGCAACAGATTTATGTGTCAAATACTGTACGTCATACTGTACGTCATTTGCAAGACTTATTATTAGAATGTTTCGTTTATAACTGTAGATCTATTTTTATTTTTTCACTGTTACTAAAGATATAGAAAAGTTTTGTTTTCCTTCAGCTTGTTGGATATAACGAGAGATAAACCAAAGTCATTGTGTTTTGGCTTTATACTCAGTTTTGTACTGAATCTTTATCTAAACACATACTAATGTCTTAATTGGCTTTAGTTTGTATTATTACTTTTTAAGTCATTATCCTCTAGTATCAAGGTTTGACCGCTGACTGTATCCTTTTTATAAAGATGGGTACCAAGCGAAAAAGTCTATCTAAATTATCTCTTGAATCACATCGAAATGTGACATTACCCGGACCTAAAATATGCTTCCTGCCTACAGTGATTACAATTTCTCGCCCTTCCTTTGACTTGCCATATTGTCGCACTATATCATATGGCCAATGACATTTCAATGTCCTTTTCTTTATGTCTTCTAATGTGAAACCTTCAGGTTTTACATACAGTCGGTATTTATTATTTAATCCAAATTTCTTGGCATCTTTACCTGGTTTGACCATGACAATGAAACAAAAATCTGAAACTGAAAACAAATATGAAGTGCATTATTCTGACAGTAAAAAATATTTGTTCGACACCTCATGTAACGAAATTACTTGACATTATACAATTCAAATATGCATCCACTCTTTTTGGACTTTATTTTACATTTCTGGTGAAAAAACTTATAAAATAATATAATATAGCCTGTTTTATTATTGTGTTATCTGCATTGTCTTGCTATTGTATGAAATGATGTTATTTTAAGATATGTCAATATATTTAGAGGCTCACCTCATTTAATTGGCTTTACAGAATTGTCAGATTTGTTTTCGTCTAATGAGTTTGGTTTTCCCGCCTTACTTCTACTCATCTACTTATGTAAGTGTTGTACAAAAATTGTTAAATTAATCGATGATCGTAATACTTTACTTGTATCATAACTTGTATTCTAAGTAGATCCTTTCTAATTTTAGAACTAAAATATAATTATAACAAACCTGTGTCATGTTCCGTTGTTGGTATGGTATCATATTCATTTTCCTGTGCAGATTTGCTTTTGGACACATTAGACTGTGCTTGCTTATTTTTCTGTCTCACTATCGACATGTTAAATGGATCGGTCTGTTCAACAATTTCACCAAGTTCCGTATATGCTTCTTCTCTATTCTCCTGTCCCGTTGAAGACGTATAAATTGGACTGGTCTGTTCAACAATTTCACCAAGTTCTGTATATGCTTCTTCCTTATCCTCCTGTATCATTAAAGACGTATAAGCTTGTGTTATCTGTACATCGCTTTCACCAAGTTCCGAGTATTTTGCCCCTTTATTCTTCTGTCTCATTAAAGACGTATAGTCTGAACTTGTTTGTACAACGATTTCACTGAGTTCCGCATATTTTGCCTCTTTAAACTCCTGTTTCATTAAGGCCGTATAAACTGGACTGGTCTGTACAACGATTTCCCCAGTTTTAATTATATTTTGCTTTACAATTTTTACAAAATCGTCCATTTGTAAAGAGATATTGACATCTGATAGTTCATTATTATCGTGCATGGACTGAATGAAGTTGTTTGTATCAATCAGTTTATGCTGAGTCTGTTTACTGACTTGGAATGATTGTTGGGCGGATGCATGCTGCTTTAAACTTGCCAGGGTCACTTGAAGTTCAACTATTTCCTTTTCTGTCCGCTCTAAAGATGCTAAAATGTTTCTTATTTTTCGGCTTTCGTAATCTACAACCCTTGTCAGTTCTTTCATTAACTCTTCTTCAAGACGATCAAAATGTTCATTAATTGCATGTCTAGCTTTCTGAATTTCTTTATCAATATTCTGTCTGTCTAATTTTAGAGATGACATATTTTCTTCACGATTCTTTTTAATCCTTTTCAAATTTTCGGCAAGTTCTTGAAATGAACTTTGAATTTCACAAATCGTTTTTGACGAATTTATGCTGCAAATACCACCGTGTATATTTGTGAGATCTTTGCAGTTCCTATGTTCCTCAATGAGACATTTTGTACAATAAGAACATTCGTGTTCATGACAGTATGCTTGATAGTTTTCACAATGTAATTTGCAAGACTCAGCAATTTGAAGGACACTTACGGATAACTTTTGATAATCGGTCAAAGGTATAATACCATGACTTCTGTGTGCTTCGTTGAGAAGATGTTGTTCCTTACATTCTTCACAAATCCCTGTGTAACATTCAAAACACCATGCTGCAGATGGTACAGAAATATTCCTGGAATCGCAGATGCCACATACAGGAAATTTACTTGCCATATTTAAAATATTGCCATCAGCATTATTTTTTAAGTTTTGTGCTTTTGGACACTATGTCAGGCAAAACGAAAATGAAATAGAGGTTCTATTTATTTCCATTGTTTGAAAAATTTATTTTTTACATGTAATATCCTTACCAATTCTTTAGAAATAAGTTAAAGTTTAGGGGCACGGGTTTCTGTTTATATAATGCTACTAAATGCTTATAAATTGAGCAGGAAAAGATGAATTGGTATGAATATCTTTTTAAGTAGAAAAAAGTAACCGGGTTTGCACTTACATGAGCAACACAACGGGTGCCACATGTGGAGCAGGATCTGCATACCCTTTCAGAGCGCCTAAGATCACACCGGGTTTTGGTGGAGTTCGTGTTACGCAGTCTTTAGTTTGCTTATGTTGTGTTTGTATACTGTTTGTATTTTGATCGTTTTTCGTTTTTTCCATGGCATTGTCAGTTTGTTTTCGACTTATTACATCTCTTTGGCATCTTTCATCTTTCTTTTTCATGGCCTTTAGTTTTTTCTTAATAGCAACAGGTACCCATAGTAACAATGGCTGGTAATATGTTTTAACAGTTACAATTCTAATGATTACAAATATGACCATGAAAATTAGTATTCGTATTTTTATCTGATAAAGTCATGCTGATAAAAAGATGCACAGTTTTCTCTGCTTTCAAAATCTTTCTGTTTGAACCTACCTTGGTTTTCTTACTACAATCGGAAACTACATGTGACATATACTATTGGTATCGGATTCGACCCGGAACTTTTTAATAATTGGTACTATTAATTATGTAGAAAACAAAATGATCTGTAATGGCGTAATTTTAATCAACACCAATATCCTATATTAGTTATATATACAGTTGAATTCTTTGATATTCGTCGTTTTTACGTCATGCCGGCTAATAAATTGGACCTCGATATTTTAGTAGAATAGATGCTGGAAAATTATTTCTAAAAAGATGGTATAGATGCCAAAGTATTACAAAAGTTCTGCTTCTATATCATGTTTTATCCTTATTTGCAAAGAACATCTTTACGGATGTGGAATATCGGTAAATATTGAAACCGAAGTTGCCGAAAAACAACGGAGACCTACAAGTACCTTAACAAGCACATTATTTGGGAAAACGGTATACCCAGCGACCGACTGTCAGTAAAGAAATGAAGAGTGGTAAGAGGTAAGATGCTAAAAAAAAAAAAAAAAAAAAATTAAACTCGCAAGTCGAAAAGAGACGAAAAAAAAACAACATTCATCAAAACACTACATAAACACTTTAGACTGACCAACACTTACCACATTAGAAACTTTGGTTAATTTCAAGTGCTCCAAAAGGATACGCAGACACGAAAAGTAGAGGACAGGAGAAATCCTGTAACTGTTTAGACCATATGGTGCCAATATCTTAAGTATGGAACTGAACTTAAAAAGGTATATGTTTTCACTATTCAGAATCAAACAAATGGTTGCTTTATGACACGCATGGCTAAACTGATCATTACAGTTTTGGGCATCTTGTGCATTTCAAGATAAAAAAGGACTTTTAAAAAGGGTCCATGTTGGTGACAGATTCAAGGGAAATGTCTCGACTTCATTCACTGTCGATGATCAAATGGAATATCAAATGTATTACTGTTGTATACTAACGTACAATGAACTCTTGCAAGTTGACAAATGATTTACATGTGTATAAACTTTATTTCATTGCATTATGCTTCAAACATAAAATCAAGGATTATATAGCTGGTACCTTTATTCAATGTCCTGGTCTTAAAACCTTATTATACTCCAGTTTGTATACCAATCTTTGTGACTTACACGTAAATTTATCAGTCTTGCACACTAAACACTATATTGTATCTAAAATAAAACAAAAACTAATCATGCGGTTATCGATGGAGATTTAGTAATGCTTTTAGCTCACGGGTTAAAAATCCGGATATTGACACATTGAAATAATAAAATACTAAACAATTATACATATATCATATATATATATTCTAAATAGTGTTATTTATTGCTGTAGAGGAAAACTTCGAATGATATCAGCAACGCATTTTATTTGATTCTGATTAAAATCAAACCTCCTTTACTTCCGATATAATTATGGGTTTGGTCGAGAACGTCATCTTCATTCATTGTGCTCAAAATTTACTGAAATTTTCCAGAATTGGATTTGAGCTATCCTGAATAATATTATATAATGACATAGTACTGACTTGATACTGAATCAGCCTCGAAGTACACAAATGAAAGTCTGTTTACAGAAATACTAATAACCTTTCGGTATTGTTGTCACCATGTCCTATCTTCAAGGAAGAATATTAAAATTTGTCATATGAACTTTTCATTTTAAAGGACGAACATACTTTAAATACATCGGAAATATGTAATCATAAATACATTACACAGGGATAAAATATCAACCTTAATATTTTTAGTTGAATAAACAAATAAGGAAATCGAAACACGTGTAAACCTATTGTTAAGGCCAATGTTGATAAAACTTAGTAAAAGATATGTTGAAAGCATAACTTATTTAAGGCACTTGAATTTTGCATTTTGATCCGGATTTTTACGCTGGTCTATGATTCATAAACCATCAGAACGAAGTATGAATTTATTTTGATTGACTCGTCCTTATGTCATTTATTCCGTCCATCTGTGATCACTTTGTTGTAACCATGACAGCGCTTTCATATTTTGTCGGATCCTGTTTATATTTCAATGAAGGATAATCAGAAATTACTTAAATGGGGAAATGTTTTGAGCGGGGGACATGTTTTAAAATATTCCATGGTAATTCTTGTCGCCTGAATAGCTCCTTCATTTGTTCTCAGATCCTCTTCAAATTTGAAATGAAGTTTCCAATGATCGAAATCTTGGATTAATAATGTGAAATACGGAACCTTATTTTCGACAAAGGTGGAATGTAAAATATTTCATATTCACTCTTGTCGCCGGGATAGCGCCTTAATATTTCCACGGATCCTCTTCAAGTTTGGATGAAATCTTCCACTCATTAAGACTGCCGATAAACACGATAACGAGAACAATTTGAAATTGATTATCATCGGAAGGAAGGCTTGTAAAACTATTCCTTATTAATTCTTGTAATCGGTATATCGTTTTTTTTTCGTCAGATTCTCTTTAAATAAGAGGAAGGTTTCTATTCATCCTAAACAACAAATTCATGTGATAATAAAAAATCAGAATTTGGGAACAATTTTTTTCAGTAGCAGGGCTTGTTTTAAATCAAAGCGCTCTGGTCATAAAATTGCATTAGTACTTGATTGGACGTATACATAATAAAAATACAAAGTTTTACATCTTTGATGACTATAAATGATTATAACATATTCAATATTTTGCTTTATCAAGACATTCGTTAATGTCTAACTGTATAGTAGCTAGCACAGTTAGTGAATTGAATAAAAAACCAAGTACCTAGTTTATACTTTTCATTTAAACTGATTCATCTATTAGATTTTCAGCCGCTGTTTCGCTCCGTCGCCCTTCTGGTTAGCAGCTCTAGTTTTGACGAGTGTCTACTTGCTCCACTTTGGGAATATTTTTTTCTGTCGGATGAAAGAAAACCAGTAATGACCATATTTATATACCCCAGTCAATCCTAGGGTTCTCGTCGATTTGAAGTATTATTGCTAATAAACACTCGGTTTTATAATTTCCTGCCTCTTAAATATTCTTTAACCCAGCGAAGTTACTGACCTGTTTTACGAATTGCTTCTAGTAAACGGACTCTCATAAGTTTTACATATACATGTATCATAAAATAAAGTTCTAGCTAGAAGAATTCTCAGGTGTAATCAGCCAAATAAATATACAAAGTATCAGTTATGGTTATAAATATGCTTATAATGTCATGTTTGTTTTCGTACCTTAACCTGAATTGCTTACCAAAGAAATCGGTCTAGGACGTAACACATTTGTGGAAAACCTTTTGAAGTAACCTGGGTGACATTGTACATCTTCCGAGACAACATCCTAAGAGGTATAGATATATGGTTACTTTGGTCATCTTCTGATCAGCTGAAGACCCTTGCCAAAGTGGGACGTCCGTTTGGTTGTGCAGATTGAATAAGTTTGCAGCCAGATCCAGTCAAAATATATGATGCATTGTTTAGAGAGACTACCCCTACAACAACTCTGTGGGGGGGTGTCTGTATGTGTGACCAATTGCAAGGGAAAATTTCTGTCCCAATTCAACACATGATGAGTGGCAGTCCAAAATTTCCCTCCTTTATACCTGTCGTCTAACATTGCAGATACTACTTACGGTATCAATTGTAAATAGCGTCTCGTCCCGAATTTACATGAAATAGTTACCATTGGAAGTTAAGTAAGCACTAATCAATTAATCAATCCAAGACCGATAGACTTGTTTTAAAATAATTGATAACAAATATGTTGATTAATATTACTCGACACATTAAGAGCAATTCTCTGTAACCACCAAAGAAATTCTAATAGGGTCTGGCACACATGGTCTCAGATTTTGATGAAACTTTTATATAATAGCCAGTACCATACCTAAAGGCAATAACAGGCAACAAATTGTTCTAGAATATTCCGGTTGCCATGGAAACCACATAAGTTGATTTTAGCAATAAAAGGTCATATTTTAACTCTTGAAAAAGTGAAAAAACGACATTTTGCACTGTTAAGTACTTGATTTATGTGTAACATATCCTTTTTTTCTGAATAATATAATATAACTGACCTTTAAGCTGTTTGAAATTCACATATGTTTTACTTTTACCATTATCAGTTATTTTGCTACCAGCTAGTAAAGATATGCTAAAATGGCAAATTTGGATTTCAGTGAAAAATACGTAAATACAGGGTATTCAAGTGAATTTTTATCTTGAATGCAGCGTCTCCTAGTAAAATGTTAGGTATATTTAGAAAGAACCAATATAGGTCTTCCAGAATATAAAATTAAATCAATGGGCAAATAATTGCAAAAAATATTTTTAATGAATGAAAAACACAAGATTTTCAAATTCTGTAAATTGTATTTTTCTACAAGTCAATAATGATCCAAGTAATTTCCATATTTAAACAATACAAAGATGGCATCAAATTTCTTACAATTTAACAAAATTGATCAGTTAAATTTTTCAGTCCAGAAAAATAGTTTTGTTTAATGAAATTTAATAAAAATGGTTGCTATGGTAACCGAATTTTGAAAATTTTACAATTTTTTTTTCTTTCTAAAATTTAGTATGTATCTTTACATTTTTAAAGATTTAATTTTGTAATTGAATACAGAGGGAAGAAAGAACTGATTGTGCATATTAGTTTTTAACTGATACAGCTCAACAAAGTTTGCTATTTATAAAGCAATGTGGGTAAAATGCTGGTCCGACTTAAATATTTAAAATAAAGTAAAACATCTTCTAAGTACATGCAAATTTCATTATATTAAACTCATATTGGTGCAATCATGTGTATGTAATTTAGGAGATAACTGTATTGTATTTTAACCTTTTCGGACAAAAAACGTAGATATTACTGTCGCAAATTGAGTTTACCTAGCGACCTGTAGCAGAGCTAGGTAAACGAATAATTGCAACAGTAAAATCTCGATTTACGTCCACAAACCTTAAAATAAAATACAGTTATATCCATTCTAATGCAATAGTCAATAAAGATATTGTTTCTGTTTTTTATTTGGACATATAGTTGCTTAAAATAAAAATTCCACAAAATGTTGTTGACATCTTTGGCACATAAACTTCATAGCAACATCATGACGTCATATGAATACTTCAAGTGTAAAACTGTAACATAGTATGTTTTGGGGCTTTGTTTACGCTTCAAATTTGGATATAAGCTATTAAAAAGTAGTTTAAGGTAGGCGTTTTTTTTTTCTATTTCGCCTATTTATTGGGAAAATATAATGTCGTTGAATCCAATATGGCTGCTTCTTGCATCCTTTCAAGATAAATAAAATAAATCCGTCATGAATTCTTTCTGTTTGATGGTAAAGAAAATCTTTTTCTTTTTCACTTTCGATGCCCATCACATTTCTTTGGCACTCAAGTCTGTAGTACATGCATTTTCTAGTAAGACTGCTTGCATATCAGGACAATGATGTACATTATTTGACAGCTTTTGGGCTTTTGCCTGATCTTTTAATGGGCCTTTCCCTAGCTTATATTCACAGCTGACTTGAAGGAGGTGTTGATGAAGACTAATCTGGTTCTTGAACTCTTGAATGCAGCCATCCATAGAACAAATGAATGTCTGCTTCTGTTGTTTTGAAGCCTGTTCTGTTCCTAAAAAGAGGATAAATAAAATAAAAATTGTTTCCCAAAAAAATAGAAAAATTCAAATTTACTACATTAACCAAGTTCAGTTCCAATTGGCCCAGTTGTATCAGAAGATTTTTGAAAAAGTTTATGCCAGACGGACTCAAAATGGGCCAGGTGACCTAAAAAGGACAACGATACAACATGTATAAATTTCTCTTTCAACAATGGGCAGCCTGATTATCTATAATAAGATATTGTCGATACCCATAATCCTGTAACCCACAAGCAGGGAATTTAAATGATGCATAACAATGTTTATTGAGTTTTGTGTTGGTTTTCTCGGTTGTTGTGACAAAATATAATAATGATCATTGTCTTACAAGTGTGCTTAAGTTTTGTACATGACAGTTAGTAAATGAAATAATTATAAAATTACCTTCAGTAATGAGGTCATTAAAAGACATCTCTGTCCAGTCATTGAGTACTTTTAACTGCACAGAATTCTTTTTTGATTTTAAAGTCACAAGCTTTCCTGAAATGAAAATTGTAATTAAAGAACCTGTATTCATTTTATTGTTTGTTAAATTGATCAATATGGAAGTTTAAAAAAAATAACCAACTTCAATATCATAAACTCTATAGATTTTTTATGTCGTTATGATATAAAATTACGTGAATTTTTATAGCATCCATTCTAGTCTAGGAGTTTGTGGTCTTTTTATCAATAGGCTTAATGCAACCTTTTTATTAAGATGATTTAATTTTTTATGTTTTAAGATGAAGTGCTGAGCTTATTGAAATTAGTATTGGTATTGCTTTTAATTGTCTTTATATACTTTTAACCTCTTAACCAGGATTTAGGAGGAGGGTTGAGTACTTATATAGACTTCTTTTACCCACCTGTGTACAAGCCAGACCCTGTATTTTCAGTGGTTGTGTTATGTTTAAAACTATATGTTATTTGTAATCTGTTTTTTTCTTTATGTTGAATATAAAAGTAATACCTTAATCAATATTGTATGTCTGCCACATCCTCAAATGACTGCTCTCAAACTAAAGTTGTAAAAACTTGTAATATTGGTTATTGTTTCTTTATTCTTGGTTACATCTAAATCAAGAATTGTGTCAACAACCTTCACCCTGTAACGCTTCCCTGGTACTTTATCAAGTGCCTACAAAAGATTGGATACTAAATGAATTCTGATAGACACAATATAAAACAAGATGTGCTGTGAGTCATTGCTCACTAGTGATATCCCTGCTTTTTGGTAGGTAGCCATCAAACTTTCACATTGATTTGTGATAGCCTTTTTGATTTATTTTGTGAAAACTGTTTGTGACTGACAGACGGAAAGCTGATTACTATAGGGCTCCTATGTCTGAATAAAAAGATAAGATATCAAATAAAGTTAATGAAATATCTTATATCTAATTTATGAGATATCTAAAAAAATAAATAAGATATCTTATAAACTAAACAAGAGGAGGCTCCGGGGTCCCCCACTGGTTCTCAAATATAATATTTCCATAAAGCACTTGTGACCTTGACCTTTGAATGACTAGAAACATCAAAATCAATAGGGATCTTCCTTACCTAATAACATTCAACTGTGTAAGTTTGAAGAAAAAATATGAAGGTGTTCAAAAGTAACAGTTCAGAAACCAATTTTGGACGGACGGACGCACGGACACCGGTATTTCTATGTCCCCTCCGGTGGGGGACAATAAGAGATCTTATAAAATTGGTTTATAAGATATCTTATAAATTATATCAGATGTCCTATAACATTCATTCTGATGCAACATTCGTTGTAACGTATGTACGTCAAATTTCATTGGATAAAGTCGTAATTTTCAGGGTATATATCAATCTGAAGATTTGGAGCCATCAATCTATGATTTGATGGTCGCAAATATCCGTTTACTGGCTCCGCTAACGTGTCGCTAGTTAACTCAATTTGCGACCATCAAATCCATGATTGATGGCTCCAAATCTGCAAATTCAATACAGTTAGCTCCTAATTGGATATCTTGAAAATCTTATATCTTCTAAAGTTTATGAGATATCTTTATAAACTTCTTTATGAGATCTCTCATGAAAGATATAAAATATATTATCATATACTTAGACTAAATAACATATGATTTTTACCATATGATAATAGCATTACATTTACGTATATTCCATATTTTTTTGAATTGGTGCTCAGCGGTCTGATATGAAAAGTTTATCACATGCTTCGACTTTTATCACATGCCTTTCCGTAACGTTATCGCATGGCATTCCGGTAATACTCGGCATATTCTGGAAAATACACCTCAATGGTACGTTTTCAGTGAAAAACATTACAAAGTAGGGTACAAAACAATTATTTGGATACTGGAAAGTTTATTGTGTAAAATGGAAAAAAACAAACAATAAACAAATGATAAAATAAATGCATTTTTAACATAATTAAGAAAGTTACTTTAAAAATGTTGACTTTTCCAAACAGTGTTTATTATGTATATTGTTGAATTATTTTTTTATCGTCCATATTAAAATATACCATACTGGTTTTTTTCTTCATTGTTGAGGCATATGATAGAAAGATTTCATATCGATTGTACAACATTTGGGGTCTGACATCCGTGATTATCTTACCTCCTATACATTTCTAGGAAAATGATTGGTTTAAAGCGTCCGCGTGGAGATTTGTGTATATTTCATATTAGGTTTGTAGGGAGGCGGGGCTTATTTTATACACGGTTAGTAGTGGAGTTACGTCCATTTATATTCCATATAAGGTTAGAAGGTAGGCGGGGCTTATTTCATACACGGTTAGTAGTTGAGTTACGTCCCCTTTATATTCCATATAAGGTTGGAAAGGAGGCGGGGCTTATTTCATACACGGTTAGTAGTGGTGTTGCGTCCCTTTATAAAAACAAAACGGTATTGAGAAAACATCTTAAAGATTTCAACAGACGAAGAAATTGATGATTAAGATTGAAATGAATTCATAAAACACATTTAAACCTAACAAGTTGTTATTGTTGGCAGCTGTTTTTGTAGGATCAATGAGAGAAGTTTCTTAATGCTCAAAGTATTGAAGACTTCAGTGCTCATTTTGATAGGTCACTAGTCTAAATTTCACACGTTAAGATAGTCGGTAAGATAAATTCGTTACATAGTGTGCTAGTGACGTAATACGGTATATATGGGGTCAGTAAATTCCATATGGGGATTTGAGCTTTGCTCTCACCCCATATGGAATTTACTGACCCCATATATACCGTATTAGGTCACTAGCACACTATGTAACTTATAATATTTCACTCTTTGAACTGCTATTTAAGAACCACGTAAAAAGATCAATATATTAATCTGTTATTTTTCTCCATTGTTGAAGCATATGATAAAAAGATCATAGCATGTCATTTTTCATATCACATGTATTATCAGCCCTTGGCCAATATCAGCCCTCAAGCAATGCGGCTCTTGGGCTGATATTAAACCTAGGGCTGATAATACATGCGATATGAAAAATGCCATGTAATAATCTGATATTATACAAGATATCTTAATAAAGTCAAGTTTATGAGACATCTTATAAAGTCAAGTTTATGAGACATCTTATAAAGTGTATGCAATGATACTATTTTATATACAGTTATACCTACCCTCTTTCTTTAAGGTGGTAGTATTTCAGCTTCTGCAATCTTGTTCTTTGTATTTGTCTCAATAGTGTTCTCCTAAGTTAAAAGAAAAGAAAAACGTTTTAAGAATATTTTAAACAAGGTACTAATTGAAATTGGAACAATAATGAATTCTGGAATACACATGATAATATTGAAGCAAAAACCAACCTATCTTAGAGGGTTTAGTAATATATGAATGGGTTAGGGTTCAGTTGAGGTATGTTTTATACACAAATGATTTAGAAATTTACCCTTAATTTACCCTCAATTATGCATGCATGAATGCATAGTTTAACCCCTATTGGCCCTAAGTGCACATGTAAATTAGATCAATTAAAACCTTGGTTTTTATTTTAATAGATTTTTTACTAATGCTTAATGATGAAACTAGTTTACCAAATAAAATGTGCAAAAGCTTAGTGAATATGAAGACCAAATTGGATCTTTAAAGTTTAATGTTATTTCTGAATTGAAAGATCTTTTTATTCTTGTCATAGTAAAACTGAGTACATATGCAGTTTGACATGTAGTTACAATATGGATCCCATACATATATATATATATATATATATACATGACATAACAATAAACTCACTATTGACTATTGAGTATACATGTGTACAGGGAATCATATTTATACATGTATATGAAAAGACATACCTCCTCAACATGCTCAATACTGTTATTCCAAATAGTTTTTCTCTACACAGTCTACAAATTGCTGTAATATAAAAGAAAATAGATACACAATTGATCTCATTCTGTTTATCACTATCAAAACTATTTAGGCCAAACAAAAAAATGTGTGTTTACTGTCACTTGCTGAAAAAAAAAGGGTAGGTAGGTAGGGATTTTTTTTTTTTACATTGAGTCTATGGGAGCAACATTGTGACTTTAACAGTACTTAATCAAAAATAGTCAAAAAAACTTTAGGGTAGGGGACAAAAATTAGGGTAAGTAGGGGTACAGTAAACCCACATACTTTTTTGTTGGGTCATATACATGTACATGTATGTACATAAAAACATGAATTTTAAAACATACATGTATCTCAAGTAAACATGAATAAAAGAAGGCTGTCCGCGCCCTTATCGGAATATAAGCCTTCTGGCGCATACATGTAGTTGTGACAACATTAGGGCTATGTTGAGGCTTCATTGCACCAACATGTTGTGGCAATGATGCTGCATTAGCGTATTTCATATGCAAATAAGTTTTCTGGTGCCAGAAAATGCTGTGGCTTCGTTGCCGCAACATGTTGTGGCTTCAATGCAGATATTGTTTTTTATTTTGTATGCAAATTAGTTTTCTGGCACTATTGCGCCACTAATGCCTTTAAATTCTGGCTTCCTTTAATTATTGACTAATAAAATGCTCCGCAGGGCGCATCTTGATACAACCGCAGAGGTCAAACCCTGAACAGTTGGGGCAAGTATGGACACAACATTCAAGTTTGATACAGCTCTGAATTTGGATTGTGAGTAAATATTTGACACAGCATAGGTTTCTGACACAGAATGAATGTGGTCTAAGAACTTAAAAATTTTAAATTGGACATTCACCTATTATGGTCCAATATCCAAAATCTAAATACATGGTTAGATTCAGCATATCAAAGAACCCCAAGAATTCAATTTTTGATGAAATCAAACAAAGTTTTATTTTAGACCCTTTTGACCTCAATGACAATGTGGACAAAGTTGATAACGGGGCCCAAAAATCACAAATCTAAATACATGGTTAGATTCAGCATATCAAAGAACCCCATATATTCAATTTTTGTTGAAATCAAACAAAGTTTAATTTTGGACCCCGATTTGGACCAACTTGAAAACTGGGCCCATAATCAAAAATCTAAATACATGTTTAGATTCAGCATATCAAAGAACCCTAAAAATTCAATTTTTGTTAAAATCAAACTAAAAAGTTTAATTTTGGACCCTTTGGACCTTAATGTAGACCAATTTGAAAACGGAACCAAAAATTAAGAATCTAAATACACAGTTAGATTCGGCATATCAAAGAACCCCAATAATTCAATTTTTGATTAAATCAAACAAAGTTAAATTTTGGACCCTTTGGACCTCAATGTGGACCAATTTAAAAACGAGGCAAAATCCAAAAACTTAATACACGGTTAGATTCAGCATATTAAAGAACCCCAAGAATTCAAGAATAAAACCCCATTAAAATTGATAAGAAATAAGCAATTTATACAAAGTATCTTCTTTTGCACAATACTGTGCAATTGAATATTTCTTGCTATTGCGCAATACTGTACAATTAACAATTTCTTGCTATTGCGCAATATTGTGCTATTGGATATTTCTTGCTATTGCGCAATACTGTGCAATTGAAGATTTCTTGCTATTGCGCAATACTGTGCAATTGAAGATTTCTTGCTATTGTGCAATACTGTGGAATTGAAAATTTCTTGCTATTGCACAATACTTATTATATAATAATTTACACATCCGGTTTGGTGTGTATCTCCTACCATATCATTATTATTTGCTTTTAAATTTAAATCAGAAATAACCAACTTAAAATGGAAAATTTTAAAAGAAAAAAAAAAGGAAAAAAAGAAACCCCCCCCCCCCCCCCCCCCCCCAATTTTTTGAACCCCCTTATGATTCATCACCCCCAAACTCAATCCCAGCCTTCCCTTTGTGGTATGGTACCTTGCAGTACAATTTCAGAGAGATCCATACACTTGAACACAAGTTATCGTCTGGAAACTAGAAAAATGCTTATTTTTGGCCCCTTTTTGGCCCCCAATTCCTAAACGTTTAGGGCAATTACCCCCAAACTCAATTCCAGCTTTCCCTTTGTGATATGGAATCTTGTAGTACAATTTCAGAAATATCCAAACACTTACACACAAGTTATTGTCATGAAACTAGAAAAATGCTTGTTTTTTGCCCCTTTTTTGGCCCCTAATTCCTAAAATTTTGAGGCAATTACCCCAAAAATCAATTACAGCCTTCCCATTGTGATATGGAACCTTGTGGTACAATGTCAGAGAGATCCATACACTTACACACAAGTTATTGTCTGGAAGTTACAAAAATGCTTATTTTTGGCCCCTAATTTCTTAACTGTTGGTACCATAACCCCCAAAATCAATCCCAACCTTCCTTTCGTGGTATTGAACCTTATGGTAAAATTTCATGGAGATCCATTCACTTAAACTAAAGTTAGAGTGCGAAAACCAATGTGTCTTCGGACGACACAGGACGACGACGACAACGACGACGCCAACGTCATACCAATATACGACCAAAAAAATTTCAATTTTTGTGGTCGTATAAAAAGGTAAAGTAACGTCTGACCAGGCAAGTTTAGTGCTAAGTATACCCGAGAAAAAGTTTTAACTCCTTTATTTAACGTTATGATTTTTTTGTGTGCTCAGGGTTATAATTATAACTTTTTCTTTTAAAGAAAGTAAAGTTCTGTCCTCAGAAGTTATTCCTATATGTAATGTACTTAATTTTCCCACATTGAGGAAAAGGAAAGTTAAAATGTGTAACTCATGAACTGTCAACATGCAACATCTATCAGGTCAGGAATAACCACCAATTGGTGGATTATACCTCAATTGACGTATAATCCACCAATTGACATATATTGGTATAGACCAATTGACGTATAATGCAAGTGTTTTTGTTATAAAATGCTAGTGTGAGATAGGAGCATCATTTTGCAACTTACAACCTATTTTATGACCATTATTGAGTCCTCCGAAAGTTTCAGTTTTGTTAAAGCCTGCTGCATCTCTTGAGAATGCATGTGTACAACAATTCTTTTGTTGAAACATCTGTACTATTGACCATTATTGACTTTTAATAATGAAAGTCAAGTATTAACAAAGAGCTCCATTCACCTGTGGAGTTGTACTCATAATCACATGACTGCAGACAGTATTGATGTCCATTGACAGGTGATTAGTGGTAAATTTGCCAATCAAGAATTGACAAGATAACAATAGAAGAAACTGCAAATACAATTATTGATTAAATGCAATAGGTTATGTCACTATACTAAACTAGGAATGTTTGACATGTTTTCATACAATAATATGGTTTTAAGAAAGCAATGCTCCATTTTGGTTGAATAATTTGCTTTGAAAAACAAAGAATTATACGTCAATTGGTCTATACCATTATATGTCAATTGGTGGATTATACGTCAATTGAGGTATAATCCACCAATTGGTGGTTATTCCTGACCTGTCTATACCTTCAATAACACCAACATAATTTCCTAATCCCAACAGGAGCCCCTTCACTTCAGTCAAAGGTGTTGTGTTTTGTCTGATTAGCAATCTAAATTCGTGATTATAACAAATAGCACTTTCAAGCCGTCTTTAGAGGGTTACAAAGACATAATTGACCAAACTTCTTTCAGCATGCTCTGTAAAATTTTAGCGAGGGTTAAATTGAGAAAGGGAAGAGAAACCATGACTTATGTTTCAGAAGGTACCAATTCGCCCCATTAGATGATAGTTCGTCCCTGTTAATTAGGATTTTTTGAAAATGCTCTCCAGGTCTATCAGGAAGAAGACAATTTCCTTGATTTAATTGAACTTTTATATAATGCATTTAATTAATCATGTTAATCTAAGTTTACATACAAGTCTTCACAATAACAGAACACCCAATTCTTCACTAAAATCATAAGCTCAAGCAACATATGGTCCACTTCTAACACACCACCATGACCACAGTAAAAAGCTCAAACACTGGTGACATCATCAATGACATTATCAATGTTCTGGCTCTATTCTGGCATCATTTTAGTAGATTAAGAATGAGAAAATTATATGTGTGCTTTATGGCAACATTGTGGCGCTTTTTGTCATGAAAGGAAATAGCTCTGCACTGTAGCCAGAATGATGCTAGCGGCATCATTCAGCACTTATCCGGCATCAATTTTCTGGCAACCTGATCAGCAGCCGCAACATTGCAGCATTGTTGCTGCAACATTTTTTATTTCATAAGAACCGGTATGAAATGATGTGATTATCATGTACAAAACGTTACAAATCTGGTAAAGGAAAGGAAACGTGAAACAGCATTCATGTTATAATTTTTGTCTCTCAAAAACAAGATTCAAAGAACTTCACATAATTTTATGTTTTAAAGTTTAAAAAAGGGGTATTAAAGAAGTTCATATGGCTGTCACATGCTTAAAACAATAAGCTTAAGGTTCATAGCCAAATGGTAGATAATTAGTAACCCTAAGGTTTTTTTGTTTTGTTTTTTTTTTTTGGGGGGGGGGGGGGGGGGGGGGGGGGGGGGTACCTGACAGCTGCATTTGATTTCTTTTTTATAAGAGGTTTATTACTGTATCTTTTTTTAAAGAAAAATGGTATTAGGTAAATAGTATCTACTTACATGTTCCAATAGGAATGAAAATGCCTGTCTTTGTAACAATTCTTTGAAACATCTCGGGTGTAACATGTCGATCCACTGCTTTTGTAGTATTATGATATTTCAAAATGACATTTACTGAAGGCACACCACAATTTTTCCTTCTATATCTCTTGTTAGTTGTTTCGATGATAATATTTCTCTGAATATCACAGATCCTCAGTTGTGACGTACAATGTAATGTCAGATTTAAGTAAAAAAAATTCTGACAAAAATTTAT